CCACGTGCCATCTCACAACCATGCTTTCATTCCCACATTCACATATAAACTCACAAACATACATCAGCTCATGTGCATGGACATGTATACACACATAGACTTTACACATCAGATAGCAGATCCTTGCAAGCAGGCCTGTTCACGCATGGAAGTGAATACACATGTGAACACATGTGCCTGAATCTGTACTCATTCACACATGCCTGTCCACACTTGTGAACTCATTCTTCTCTTCAGGTCCACCAGTATAGCACTGGCCACAGTCCAGAGGATGGCAGAGCTTCTGCACTTCCGCACAAGCAGAGCCAATGCCTGGGTTCTCCTATGGATTCAGCAAGTCCCTTGATTTGAACCTGTGGCCCATTCATGCTCATGTCCCCTCCCAGTGTCTAGCACAGAGAGGTGGCTCTGGAATCGAGGCTGCAATGAAATGAACCAGGCTGACGTGTGCACATCAAAGGTCACTCTCCTATTTCTTCACAAATTAATGTTTATCACAACTCATCCCCAAACCATGGGTAGGCCCTGGGACACCAAGGGCTGTGCTGCACACCTTTGCTGACACAGAATAGAATTTCCTCAAGACCCTCACACAGGCACCACTCCCAGCCCCAGCTGCCCTGACCGCTGATGAAGGCCCTATCCCAAAAGTAAGACCCCTTGAGGGTTCGACAAGTCTAACAGCAGATCTCAGAACTTGTTTTGCTTGCTCTAAGCAGACAGATGCTCCCAGTTCACAGAAGGAGGCAGTTTCTCCAAGGTGCATGAAGGTCTGAGCTTAGGCAGTGCTTCTCAGAGGCTGGTTCACTGTATCAGACCATTCAGCATGCTGGTTAATGCAGATTACTAGGTCCCTTCCTGAATCATAACTGCTGAGGTGGAGCCTGGGCATCAGCATTAACAATAAACATTGTGGTTTAGGCCTGGCTCAGAGTCAGAGAGTCACACTGCTGGGTGCAAATTCTGGTACCATTTGCTAGCCCTATGCAGATCTTCTAACCTTGCTGAGACTCAGTTTTCTCATCTGTAAAATGGAGATAAAAATGGTGCCTGAATGGTGGGGCTGCTGTAGGAGTAAGATGAAATCATGAAAGCAACACAGTGCTTACGTGGGCTCCACAAAAGTGTACCACCAGTGGACAGTAGCATTCTCACACCCAAGGGACTTCTGGTGAGGGGCAGCAAAGACTTTGCATGGCAGGGCCTCAGCCCAAGATGCCCTGCCACCTTGTGGCTAGTACATGGGACCATGCCCAGTGCTGGCACCTTTACCCAGCTGAGAGTAGCTGGGTAGCTTCCACCCTACTTCTCCACCCTCTGGCAGCCTCCCCTCCCTGCCTTGCTGCCCTGAGAGCCTAACTGGGTTGGTGTCAACCCTGGCACTCCCTCCAGCTTTGTAATAAAATAGCTGGCTCAGGTGAGTTTTCCCTGGCAGGGAGGCCAGTTGGCCCAGAGGGCAGGAGGGAGGGGAAAGCCTGGGGAAACAGCTTCTTTAGTGACCACCAATTATAGTCTGATGTTCTCCAGGGATCGCTTGCTCCTGAAACCAGGTGAGCTTCAGGAAAGAACTCTTTATTTGTCTTCCTTCCCTTCCTAGTCTTTTGTCCATGGAGTCAGTGGAGATGAGGTAGTAAATATTTCCACCTTGCAGTAGCTGTGGAATATGCAAACAAATGGATGGATGTGGCTGTGGTTTGATAAAACTTTATGGACAATGGAATTTTCATTTCTTTTTTTTTAAAGATTTATTTATTTATTCGTATAGAACTGGGGTACAAGCCAGATGTGCAGAGGTGGTGAGAAGCTTCACCAGAGACAGAGTGGAGAGCAGAACAGGCAGATTGACAAAGTCCACTGCTGAAAGGAGCAGTGGGTGCCGCGCCATGTGGATCACCTCTGGCGCCGGGAATCAAACTCGCATTGAAGCGGTTGTGGTGGCTGGCTTGCAGTGCTATGTCCTAACCCATTGCACTATCAGGGAGGGCTAGAATTTGCATTTCATATAATTTTCATGTGCCATGAAATAGACTTCTCTTGATTTTTTTCTCCAATCATTTAAAAATGTAAAAACTATTCTTATTTGTAGGCCATATAACAATCAATAGCTAAAGGACTAAATGCAGCTACACACAAGACCACAGAATGTGCTATGCCCAGTTCATGCCAATATCTCTTACGGAGGCGAGGTCTTTGGGGAGGCCCAGCATGGAGGTAGGGGAAGCTCAAGCCCTGCAGTCCTCCTAAAGTCCACCCCCTCTATGCCACATAAATTTTCTGGGATTCAGATATGGGTATTAGGTTTCCTGAGCCAGAAAGATTTTGGGGGCAGGAACATTAATCTTCAACCATCTGGAGTCAGAAAAAGCCTGGATTCAAATACCAGCTTGACAATTCCCTAGCTGAATGGCCTTGAGTAAGCTATTTAATGTCAATATCTCTGAGCCTCAATTTCTTCATTTATACTATCAACTTCCAGGGCCACTGAGAGGGTTAATACCTCCCTGGACAGTTGGACAGTGCTCCTCGACTTTCACCACAGTTCCTTCTCCCATACCCACCCCAGCACCCAGCATGACTATGGGCACAAACACCTGTTGAGTCTCTTCTTGCTAAACTCTAGCTTCCAGAATGACAGAAAAAGGCCCCTGATGTATTTCCCAGAGACCCCTCAGGAAGCATACCCTGAACTTCTGAGAGACCTTGCCCTATGGACTTAGGTTGGAGTAATTGCCTTTCGGTTTCTTTGCCCCCAGAGAAATCAATCCCTTGTCCCTCCCAGACCAGCCTACCTGGATGGCCATGAATATGTGGCCACCTGGATAGCCAAGAATGTGTGGACATGAAAAGCCCTTGGCTGGTTCTCCTACAGGGAAGGTCAGAGGAGGCGGCTGCTTGGCTGGGGATAAAGGGTGCAGGACCCTACCTTGCCTGGCAGCACAAGATCCAGGGAGTTGGGCAGGCTGTCCAGGTGAAGGCCTTGGGCATCCCATCATTCAGCTGAATACCTTGACTCTCTAGCACTTTGCTCTCCTTTTCAGGTACACTCATCTCCCAGGTGGGTGCTCAGTTTGTACCACCTTCCAGAATAGCATGCCTCTTTCCCTTCCAAGAGCCTCTATTACCTTATTTGGCTTAATTCTTTCAAAGCACTTATTGCTAGGTGAAAAAATATTAAGTTTTTTTCTTTTGCTCTCCTTCAACTAGAATTTGAGCTCCTTAATGGTCAACCTTTTGTCTGCCTTGATCCTATGTTTGCTCTCACAGGGCAGATGGATGGATATTATCTTCTATCTAATAGTTGAGCATACTGAGATCACCTGGTTGGTAAGCAAGCAGCAGCATGAGGATTTAGGACCAGGTATGTCTGACAGAAAGTTCACATTCTACCCTCTGCTGGAAGATAGAGCTTGGTTAATCTGGCAAGATGGGGGATGTGAGGGGCAGCAGTACATAGGCCTTGAGCTCCCTAGTCTGATTCCAGCAGCAGTAGCATCTGTAACCAGTAAGGAGGCATTTATGAGAGTCTTAGGAACATTCTCAGTCATTATTGTAGAAGCAAAACAAGGTGGGTTGCACTCCTGCGTTCTTGGAGTTCATTGGCTGCTCAGGCAGAGACATTTATTCCAGTGATTTCAGAGCAAAGCAGACTCTGTTAAGATCTATAGAGGGTTACAAAGTGCTTTAAACACCAGTCTTAGCCTGGGCTACTGTAACAGAATACCACTAACAGGGTGGCTAAGACAACAAATTTTACTTCTCACAGTTCTGGAAGCTGTAAAGTCCAGGATTAAGTGGGGACTGATATTGTTCCTGTTGAGATCCTTCTTCATTCTTTGCAGATAGCTGCCTTCTTACTGTATCATCACATGGTAGAGTTCCTCTCTCCTTTCTTACTACATGGGTGGAAACCCCACTCATAAAGCTTCCACTTTCATGATCTAATCTCTTCCCAAATTCCCTACTTCCAAGTACCATCACGTTGGAGATTGGGGTTTCATCATCTGAATTTGGGAAGGACACATTTAGTCCATAGTAGGTACTGACAGTACTCAGAAGTCAGGAGGGTGTGGCCTGGGACATAGGGTGTACAAGAAGGTATAGCGCTTTGGTGGGAGGAGTAAAGTCCGTGGAGAAAGGGTCTGTTTGAAGGATAGTAAGAGCTCCTAATGGCCAATCTATATTATGTGGAAAAGGGCAATGATGGTATGACAGGTGGTTACGAAGACTGTCAGGGATCAAATCACAGAGGTCCTAAAGGAGATTGAGAAAGACTGGGATTCCTCTGGCTGCACAGATCATAATACCAACAGAACAGCTGATAGTACATACTGGGCGTATTCTGTCTTACAAAGCCTTTCCAACTAGATTGTTCTTCCACTCCGTCCTCACAATTGGTAACGTGCAAGCAAGAATGGCAAATTTAGGGTCAAGAGCCTGGGGTCCCCACCACCCAGGTATAAGTTGTGTAGATTTGGACAAGTCACTTCATAATTCCGAGAGTTATCTTCGACAACAGGACCCGGTTCTCAGCCTTCAGCAGGATTACACAAAGACACACGTGGAAAATATTGTCTTTAACGACTAACCTTAGTTTTTCCTCTGTAAAATGGGGACAATTCCTGTCCAGCCTAACTTAGGGAGCTCCGTCTGCAGTTTTGCAGGTGAAAGTCAAACGGCAAGAATCTTGAGTTAACGAATGAGTTCTCTCAACTTTTTTGGGGCAGATGAGGCACGGAAGTGACTATTTCCTGGTTGTTAGTCTGCGAACCTCACAGGGAGCTTGGGTTACTTTAATTGCGTTTCTTAAAACTGGTCGGTGTTTAACCTAGTTGGGGTAGGGAGGGACAGGCACAGAAGATAACAAAGGAAGGGCAGGTAGTGGCGCCAGGACACTGACGTAACCCACCCGCCCACTTCAAGGGGTTGACCTGCCTCTGCTCTGCAAGATCGCCAATCAGCAAGCGAACGTCCCGTGACGCAATATTCTCGCGACAAAGTCAGCGGTGGCGTTTCCTGGTGACCGAGACCCGGTGCCGTGACTATGGGCAGCCGAGAGGTTCTGGGCCAGGCGGCCCGGCTGGCCTCCTCTGGTCTGCTCTTGCAGGTACTCTCTGCCCGGCAGGTTCCAGTGTGACAGCCGGGATTTGCGGGGAGGTGGCCCTGGAGTCCCTGAGGACCCGCCTTGAGTTAGACCAACTCTCGGCCTGGACTCCACTACAGAGGGGTTCAACAGGAGGCGGTGGTGGTGGAGAGGGGATGCCTGAACCCGAAGTTGGGAGCCAACGTTCAGTGGCTCGACTGCAAACCACTTTCTTTCTGAGCATTGTAGTTGCCATATGGCAGTTAAGAGATGGTTAGTTCAGGTGACTGGGGTGCCTTTGGTGCTTTAGAATCTGATCTTTTTAAGGCAAACAGTTAATTTTCTCCGTGTCCACCCCGACCCTCAAACACTCAAATTCTGACTTCAGAGGGTTGATATACTATAGCCAGGAACCAGAGACCTGGAGTCAGGCAGATCTGGATTGGCATCCTGGTTCTGTCATGTGCTTGCTGCATGACCTGGGACAAGCAACTTCACGGAGACCTCAGCTCCTATTTAAGAAAATAGGGGTGATAATAGTACCTGGCTCATAATGTCAAGGTGATACTATATTGGGGTCATTGAGATAATTGCACTTACCACAGTACCTGATTCTTAGTGTAGTTGTTTTTTTTTTTTAAGATTTATTTATTATGCATACAAGAACTAGGGTGCAGGCCAGAGATACGGGGGTGGGGTGAGAGATTTCACCAGAGACAGAGTGGGGAGCAGAACAGGCATATTGATTGAAATATACTGCTGAGGGGAGCAGTGGGTGAGACAGGAGAGGTCTGCCATGACATGGGGGTCACCTCCCTCAAGAGATAGGGAACTTGTGCTGCAGTGGCTTCGGAGAGCTTCATAGTGCTGCACTTTAACCCATTGAGCCATCAGGGAGGGCCTCTTAGTGTACTCTTAGTAAATATTAACTGCATCTTCCTTCCGGCTTTGTGACCTTGGACAAATCACTTCCCCTTCTTGCCCTAGTTTGCATCATCTGTCAGATAGTGTACATGCCAGTTGGTCCAAAAGGTAGCTAAAGTTTCTTTTAACCCTAATAACTGGTCATTCTTAGTCAAGTGTTTTAACTCTTCTGTGTTTCACTTCTGAGCCATTTAGGATGTTCACAGACATCCTGAACATGTTTTCATGGAAGTTAGGAGAAAGAATCAGGAGGGCTTGGGCTCAAATTTGGACCTTATCACCTGTTACAGACCTGCGTTTGGAAAAGTTGCTTGACTTCTCCGCATCAGTTTCCTCATCTTAAATGAGAACAATAATACAACTCCACAGGGTTATTAGAAAAATTAGATGGGCCCTCCCTGCTGGCACAGCGGATTAAACTGCAACAGCTTCAGTGTGAGTTTGATCCCCAGCCCTGGAGGTGACACACATGGCACAGCAGACCTCTCCTGTCTTGCCCGCTGTTCCCCTCAGTAGTGTATTTGGTCAATCTGCCTGTTTTGTTCCCCACTCTGTCTCTGGTGAATCCTCTCACTGCCCCTGCACCTCTGGTCTTTATCCAGTTCTGTATGCATAAATAAATTTAAAAAAGAAAAGAAAAATTAGATGATGTGCCTTTTACGTGCCTAGCATATTATATGGTTAATGCTTTTTTTTTTTTGTATTTTTGTTTTGGTAATAAAGATTTTTTATTATCATAATGAAGACATTATAAAAGATTTATTTATTTATTTATGCATAGAAGAGATTGTGTGTAGGCCAGAGGTGTGAGGGTGAGAGGATTCATCAGAGACAGAATGGGAAGCAGAACAAGCAAAATACACTGCGGAGGGGAGCAATGGGTTAGACAGGAGAGGACTGCTGTCCCATGTGGGTCAGATCTCTGGCTATGGATCAAACTCAAGCTGCAGTGGCTGGCGATAGCTTCATAATGCTGAGACTTAACTTCTTGTGCTACCAGGAAAGCCCATAATAAAGATTTTTAATGGTCACTGTGGAGATAAAGTGAGATAATCTATGTAAACTCTATAGATGTACCTTCAAGATTTGTGCTGAATAGGCATTCACCTAGCCCTTAATTAGATGAACCCTAAGTTTACTTTCTCCCCAATTTCATGTTAATCAAATAACTGTTTGAACTCAGTACTTTACCTACACTACTGATTGACCTTTGACAATACCTTATTACTGTGATTGGCTTCATAAAAAAACAGGTCATAGAAAACAGTGGACTAAGCTGCTCATAAGATCAAACGAGGTTATTTTGTTGCTGTGTAATATCAGCAAATGCTTTGCTCTGAGTTCTACTTGCTTCCTGTGCATTTACTTGGTTGCCTTTAAGTATCAAGTAATTAACAAATGTGAAAGAGTTTTTTCTGAACTGTGAAGTTCTTTACAAAGTTAAACGAAGACTGCTGCTCCACTGTGTGGAACAAATGCAGGCATTCCTCGATTTATTGCTTTTTATTGCTCTTTACGAGTTGTTTGTTTTTCACAAATTGAAGGTTGTAGTAACCCTGTGTCAAGCAAGTCTCTTGATGCCTTTTTCCCAATGGTGTTGATGTCGTCTTTTGAGTTCGGGGTTCTTGGGTTCACTCTGGAAAAGGTTTCACCAGAGCTCCCCTTTCAGTGGCACACGGCGAGATTCTTCATGAAACAGAGACTCAGTTATATTTAAAGAGTAAGTTCATTAGAAAGAAACAGGAGAGGAAAAGACACTTGCATAGGTGCAAGTGGGCAGGAAGAGCTGCCCCAAAGGAACAGGCTTGCAGAGAGAGAGGCTTGCATACTTGCAGGCAGAGGCCTAAGAAGAGACCGGCTTCCGCCAGGGGAGGTCAATGCAGAGAAGTCCACGCATGGTCACAGGCAGGCAAGGAGGCTGCTGCCGCAGAGGGAGAGAGTGGGTGGAAAGAAGCACCTTCATAGTCACAGGTGGGCAGTGGAACAGCTGCCCTGTGCTGGTGAGAGACTGCCCTGATATAGGCAGTTTCTCCTTGGGAAGGGCTCACTCCTTGTGCGCCTAGATAGAACTTAAGAGGACTGGAGATTTCCTGATGAGCTTCATCTCCATGTCCTTATCTTTTACCTTTGGGGTTGGAGTTTCAGGCACAGCCCCCAACAGTCTGTTATCTGCTGGGACCTCTTGGAGACATTCAGGCATCCCAGACATCCTGGACATCGGGCTTTGGTGCCTGAGGACCTTGATGTTATGGCTGTGTCAGTTGCTGCACTGGCCCCTTCTCTCTGTCCCCTCTGTGTGACTCAGTCTTGTGATGCCTCCCTTGCATTCCATCCTCCAGCAGTATGAGCTCACTTTGTGTCTCTCTCACATTTTGGTAATTCTCACAATATTTAAAGCATTATTGTATCAGGGTGAGCTGTGATCACTCATCTTTTATGTTACTATTGTAACCTTCTGCCAGGAAAAAGATTATAATGTGCTGAAGACTCATGATGGTTAGCATTTTTTACCAATAAAGTATTTTTAAATGAAGGTATGTGCATTGCAATTTTTTTTTTAGTTGTAATGCTATTCCCTGCCTAATGTACTACAGTATAATATAAACATAACTTTTATATGCACTGGGAAACTAAAAAATTTATTTGACTCGCTTTAATGGAATATTCACTTTATTGCAGTGGTCTGGCACCAAACCTGAAATATCTCCAAGGTGTGCCTATTAGTAGGTAGCATTAGCAGCTTAGAGCTTCATTAGCTCAAACCTTTATTCACACAAATTAGGAGACATGAATTTAACCTGAGTCAGTACATTTGTTAGACAGTGATAACGTGGAAGTTAACATAAATGTGAATGTGTGATTTTGTAAAATAGCCATCATCTTTAGGATTCTTTAGTGTTTTAATTCAGCCCACAGTACACACACTGGAGGCAGCTTTGCAGATACATTGTATTGTGCAAGAAGGGAGAGCTTATTCAGCTTTAACTCTGAGCTACCGACAGTGAAAGTATTAATGTGGTCATGCATATGCATTTTTCAGAAATGCTTTTACCTTCAATCTTATTTGATCACTTTTATCAATTATATGAAGTAGGTAACCTCATTTGATAGAGGAGGAAATGGAGGTTTATAAAAATTAGAGCATAATGGACTTCACAGCCAAATGGTGAGTTAAGACTCTCAGCTGAGTGCTTTTTCCATTAAGGGCTTCATGAGTTCACTTCCAACTTCTAAGATGGAGGACAGAATTTGTTGTGTGTGTGTGTATGTGTGCATTTGCATGTTTCTAAAGAGAGCTACAGAGCTTTCATCAGACTCTCCATAGGTCACTTTGAAACCATAGAGGTTACAATCATGATAGCTTGGTTTTGGAGAACTTGTTGCTCTATGACACTCCTAAATATTTGCTCTAAATATTTGCTCCCTTTATGGTCATGTGTTTTCTCCCCATAGACTTTCAGTCCAGAACAGTCCTTTGGAATACTTGGATTGAATCTTCCAGATTGCAGCTATTCATGGATAATTCTGAGAGTACTTGACAGTAGAATGATTTGTCATTTGCTCTGGAGTACACTCGAGTTGCACTTTGGTGCTGCTGGGCTGCAGGGCGGGTGGGGAATGAGGCTTGCACCCAGCCAGCATTGCCATTTAGCAACTTCATTTATCTGCAACCCATTGTTCTCTGTCTCATGGGAAGAATGCTTTGCTTCTGTGGTTTTCTTGAATTGATGGGTTTGGAAGTCTCATGATACAGCCCTTTCAAATGGCAATAGCTGGACTGTCTTTGTTTCCCCCTAGTTTATTTTATTTCCTTACCTCATTTGTTGAAAAGGTATTTCAGCGCCTAGCTAGAAAGTGTTAAATACTCAGTAAATAAATATGGTTTTTTCTGTTTCCTCGTTGAGAAAACTAAAGTTGAAAGAAATTAAATGTCATTTTCATGGTCCCCAGGTACTATTAGGCAGAAAAGAAAGTGAAATTAGTCCCTAATTGCTTGCGATTCTGATGTACTCATCAGCTCCTACTTGCTAGTGTGTACCATTTCTAAACAAGCTGAAGGGAGGGGCACTGTGAAGCACCAGCTAGAATTCTTTTTGCCTCTTTGAAGTACCTGACTTTGAACCCAGAGAAAATCACTGAACCAGTAAACTAAGGAGACTGTCAGGTGTCTTCCTGGGTTTTTTGACAGGAGTGCTGAGAGACCCCAACAGAATGAAACTGCACAAGAAGTGCAGACAGGCTGAGTGTTTTAGTGAGCGTCTCAAGGCAGAGCGCCTGTGTGCCATTGCTTCACAGTAGGGAGGGCAGCCACCTTGTTTTCTTTTCAGCAAAGCAAACATTCCTGACGTAATTTATTCCTACGCATTTTTCTTTATCTGTAGGTGTTATTTCGATTGATCACCTTTGTGTTGAATGCATTTATTCTTCGCTTCCTGTCAAAGGAAATCGTTGGCATAGTAAATGTAAGGTAAGAAGGGCTAATGCCGGGTGTGTCCACAGCTCACATCCCTGGTCAGGCTTTCCCTAAATTCTGTACCTTTACGTATCACCCTCAGATTCTTTACGTGTCACCCTCAGATTCAGGAAGCAAGGGCCTTTACCAGAAACAGCTGGGCTAAGGGAGGAGTGTGCTGGGTGGGGGGAGGATGAGCAGGCAATGTTGCTTTTAATGGACCCATGGAGTGTTTTCCATTAGCAGCCCTCAAATGCACATTTCTCTGCTGGCTGTTCCGGTTTGCCTGCTCTTAGAGCCCAGGAGAGGAGTGGGAGTAATTCATTGCCAGCTCTGTCTCAGGTATAATCCTGTGTTCTTGTCCTGCTGACAGCAAAGGAAGCAAGAATTCTGTAGTTGGTGAAGATGTGCTTCCTAATTACAGGGCTGGAACAGCTAAGCTACCTTCCTTCCCCCCTCAGTGACTTTTATAATTGGAAAATGGTGGCGGGGATGAGCGCTTGAGTTCTTGTCATTAGTGGCTTAGTGCCTCTTAGAAAGCTGATTTGCTTTGTCTTTTAGACACGGTTTGTTTCTTTTACGTTTGTGTCTTCTGTTCAAGTACACCTACATTTACTCTGTGTTCACAATTGACACACAAGTGTATGGAGTGATGTGAGTGCTCAAAATAGCTCAGGTATGTCTTCATGTCCCGATAAATAAGACAGTATGTTCCAGACATTCCACATCAATTTCATACCAAACAAATGCTCTTGGTTCTGTTCTTGGAGATCAGTGAGGAACTCACATGATGTGCAAAGGAATCTGAGAGCTTTGCACTAGGTAGGATTGAGGAGGGGACCAGGACTCTGCTTTTTGGTAAGCCCCTCTGGTGATTTTGAAGTTGGGATTACACTTTTTTTTTTTTCTGCAGAATGTTTCTCAATCTGGAGTTTGCCTGACTATTCCTTCATTAGATTTAGATTGCACTTTTTTTTTTTTTTTTTT